CAGTAACAATTTGTGAGCAAGAGATTGAGTAAATACAAAACAAGTTGATTAGGCATTCCAGACTTGTAAAATGTACGGTTCTATTAAGTCTCTATGAGTTTTATTTGTATTTTCCTGTCGGTCTCTTCCCAAATCCTCTTCTCTATCACAAAGCAGTTCGGGGTGCACAAGTCATATGGTTTTCTGGCGTGCGCAATTGGGATTATCAAAAAAATGAATATGAATATACGAAACGTAATTTAAGTACACATGAATTACACAAGAATCGGAAAACGCAACTTCCTACTACTTTTATAATTTTTTTAGTCAATGTACTCGTCAGTAGTTTACTTATAATTGTTTTTTGAAAGTTTTGTTACCATAAAACTGAAAAAAAATTAAGAATTTCATAGAGCCTTCACTTTCAAAACATGCATTAGTAGTGTCATCGATTAATATTATGAAAAAGTGACTCACAAGATCAATATTTAGTGAGATGTTCAAATAATTGAAATAAGTAGCAGCTCTATTGTACTGTCTCATGACTATATCAGAATTCACAATACAGAAAAGTAACATGTATTGTTGACGTACAACACATGTAATGCTAAGTGTGGTAAAACAATGACGTATAATAAAATTATAACTGATTTTTCAACAAAGTGAAAAGTCAATACTGTTTGAAACTTGGTGCACAACGGTAGTACACATTTGCGTTAGCTGTGCGTAAGGTCATGTTCGCCACACTGAAATGTGATTCAAAGAGAAAGCAAAACATTAAATTAAGATCAGAAGTAATAAGTTTCAAAATTAGTCTAATCGATGTCTGCCCATATCATATTTGAAGATCTGAGGGGTACATTGATATTTTGACAATAAACAGACCGTACTTGTTGCGATATATTGTTTCCACAGGCACGAAAAGCTTTGAATGACATTCTGGCTAAGAGTTATAAAAAAAAATTATACCAATTACAGATACATTACATTCGTTCCCGTACATTTTGTTAATCATCCTTCTTTGCATATAGCAAGGCCTTCATTTTTTATCATATTTACCTCAAAAATAATTTCTTCATAAATAAGTTTATAAAGTTATATTTTTTTATTTACAGGTTTATAAATATCCAAATAGACACGTAAGAACAAAGTAGGAAAATAGTCCTGTATCTGAGATTCCTTTCTAGATCACGCGTGTTGTGTATAATTCCCCTTTTTAATTTTTCTCATAGAGGTTTGTTTCATTATTTTTCTTTTGATCTCTAACCTATTGCTTATCCTCCCCTGTCGAGACGATATTGTTTTTTATATACATGGGACGCTCAAGATAATAACGGTAGATCCAAACTGACCTCGCACTTTTAGTTAGTGTGACGGGAATCTCCCACCATATACCGAAATATCAAATGAATTGGTAGATGGCAAAACACTCAAATTCCACCTTGAAACATTTGTCGGAAGTGAAAGTGATCGTGAACGAAAACAGAACAAGGTTATTTTTTTCAGAAGGAACTTCGTTTGGGATGTGTCGTTATTATTTTGAGCACCTGAAATAAAAGTTGCGAAAATGCCAGGCTGACGCAGCAGGAGCTGAAAGCACAGTGGAAACAAACAGCCCGGAACAGCGCGCCAAGATTAATAAGACAGCCTAGAGCGAGACGTAGCGAAGACTCGAGAGCGGGCGAGAACGCCCACGCGTCCGGGCGCGAATGGGGCGGCGGACGGCCAATCGGCGAGCGAGACGCGCGCCGCAAAAAGCGCGCGACACGGCGCGGCGAGCGGCGGCGGCGACGGCAGCCGCGCAAAACACGACGCGGGATGCTGATCACGCAGATCTCTCTAATTAGCACGCAGGTAGCGCGCAAAACCGCTCCGCTGCCGCTGACGCCCGCCCTGCGGGATTACAGGCGCCGCAGGGGGATGCGCGGGGGTGAATGGGGGAGTGGCCAGCGCAGAGGCAGAGGGAAGCCGAATAGGGCAGGATGGGCGAGGTGTGAAGGGGCGAGGCAGGATGGAGTAGTAATGGGTTGGCTTAGGCTGGGTGGGGATGGGGTAACGTGGGATGGGAATGAGGGGGCGCAACGTGGAGGGATGGGACGGGGCGGGGCGTGGTGGCTTTCGAGGGCGGGAACGGCTAGCGGAGACGGGGATTACAGGTGCCGCAGGGGGTGCATGGGGGAGTGGCCAGCGCAGAGGCAGAGGGAAGCCGAATATGCAGGATGGCGAGGTGTGAAGGGGCTGCAGGGTGAGTAGTAATGGTTGGATTAGGCTGGGTGGGATGGGTAATGAGGGTAGGCTCGATGGGCTACGTGGAGGCGTCGAGGGGAGAGCGACGGGTAGGCAGATGGAGCGGGGCGAGAGAGAGACAGAGGCGGGACGGGTAGGCAGATGGGAGCGGGGCGGAGAGAGACGAGGCGGATTGAGCCGGGTGGGGCGGGATAGAGTGAGGTTGGGGCAGGTTAGTGAGAGGTGGTGGGGATAAAGCAGAGGGGGATGCGATGGAATGAGTGGATCCAAGGTGAAGTCAGAGGGTGCGAATAGAGTGAGAGGATGCGGGTGAAGTGAGAGGGTGCGAACGGAGTGGGGGTACGGGATGGAGTGCGTGGATGCGGGGTGGAGCAAGAGGTGGCGAAGTGGAGTGGGGGAGGGCGGAGTGGAGTGGGAGAAGGCGGAGTGGAGTGGGAGAGGGAGGAGTGGTGCGAGGCGGGTCGGAGTGAAGCGGGGCGGAATTGGATGATGCAGGAGAAAGGCGAGAGGGCGGGTAGAAGCGAAACGAACCCGAGTGCGCAAGGGTAAGGTGAGATGAGGAGTGGTACGGGAGGTGAGAGGAACGAAACGAGGAGGAAATATCCCGAAGTGATGGAGAGGGAAGAGGAACATAGCGTATTTTCAGTGTGTGTGTGTGTGGGGGGGGGGAGTTAGGTGCTTACTTGAACGGATGGGACGCGAAGTGCAGCGAAAGAGCTGGGCGGAACGAAGAAGGGACAGAACGGAGAGGTATGAAACGGAAAGAACAACAGAGAGAGAACAGGAGAGCAAAGTTGGAGAGGGACAGGTCGGATACTGGGTGAGTGGATTTCTGCGGCAGCCATGCTTTGAAGCAAAGGATTTATAATAATAGTACAGACACTGTCGGTACGATGATGATTACAGAGTTCGACCATAAGAGTAAGCTTGCGCTATTTGAAGTCTCATAAAAGAAAATAACGATGCAACTTTGGAAAATTAACCTGGAAATTCCATTTTCGGCATATTACACAAATGCTGGGAAATGGACCCTAGTTTGTTTGTTGGAGCACAATAGTAGTAGCAAAAAAGCGTTCTTTATACTCAATAGACTCCGTACTACTGAGTGCGCATGCTATAAACAAAAAAAGGGGACCGAAAATATGAAGTGAATCCAAATCTTGGTAATCAACCGACATGAAACTCATAATATTTTCAAAAGAAAACATTTTTAATTAGGTTACGATAGAACGTTACAAGAATGCGCGTGAGTGCATGCATATTTTCATTTATTTCCTGAAATGATTTTCATCTGAAATTAATAGTTATATCATAATATAATTTGTGATGATAAGTGTACATTAAGATAGTAACGTTTCAAAAATGAAATATACACAGCAAAAATGCAATTGAATATATACTTTCGGCTTCCCAGGATCTCTATTACTTGCATTAAAGAATTACTTATTGCCTGCATTAAAGAACAATATAATTACCCGCTCTTTTACAATGCCTCTATTATGTAAATTAATTTTCTTCAATAACTAATCATATGCAGTTTATAATATTAGTAAATAATAAATAAATATAAATAGAGTGATAAAATTTTGAGAGTTAAAAAGTACAACAATTGAGGTTACATAAAAGTAATGTTTGGGAAAAATGGGCAAGGGATATTGACTCCAACTTCATACTATAATCTACAATTCGTATTTATTTTAACAGCAACAAAATAACACATAAATCATTACATTAACGGAAACATTCAAGTTTTCTGAAAACACAGAATTAACAATGGTCGCAAACAAGGAATATTAGTTCACTAAACGTATCCTCACAGTAGTAGAAGCAAGTCACCATTGTTAATTAATTGTGACCTAGCAAGAAAAAACATAACGCACGCAAGAAACGTATAATTACAGGTTGTTAGTGGAAGTAATTTGCAAGTATGAGAATTTTTCTCATTCATTAAAGCTCTTACATAATTTCTATGAATGTTAGTATTAAAGAAGGGGAGATGCTTTTATCGAATGTAAAGTAACGCAACAAGGTCATTTACAGCTCTTTTTCATCACAATGAATTATTAAGGACTAGATTCTTATCATTAGGAAAGAGCCAGAAGACACTTACAGCCACATTGCAAAACAGTAAAGAAAAAAATCTAATCATTGGTACCATGAAATGGGTTCTTTAATCCTCGCAGAGCTAAACGGTGTCGGACAGAAGAAAAACAAAATAACGTAATTCAGAACTGAGAAGATACAATCGATGCACAAGATAAGTGACACATCTTTACCGTTGTCATTTTCCAGGAGAACGGCTTCCATCTGAGCGGTGCCGTAAATTGTATGCCAAAATACAACTGTTTTCCTTGCCCACTCCTGTCTAGTGAGCTATCTTTCAAGTAATTTACGTACTAAAAAATAAACTATTCCCCAAACGTATTTCTTTACTTCACTCAAAAATGACTTTTAAGAAGACGTGCCCTTTTTCTCGTAGAGCAACGATTGAAGAGCTGAGGCGTGGATTCAGTGCTTGCCGAGCTTGCCGCCGCCGTTGCCGGTGCCGTGGCTGTAGCCCCACTTCTTGCCCTCGTCGTGGCCGCCCTTCTTGCCGTGCTCCTCGTGGTGGGCGTGGTGCTCGTGGTGGGCGTCCTCGCCCTTGTGGCCCTTGTGGTCGTCGTAGTGGTGGCCCTTGTGGTGGTGGCCCTTCTTGCCGTGGTGGGCCTCCCCGTAGCCGCCGTGGTGGTGGCCGCCCTTCTTGTGCCCGCCCTCGTGGTGCTCGTGTTCCTCACCGTACTCGCCGTGCTTGGAGTGCTCGCCGCCCTCGTGGTACTCGTCGAAGAACTCGTGCTTCTTCTCGTACTCGTCCTTCTTGTGGATGTTGTGCTCGCCCTTGGTGCTGTGGCCCTTCTTGTGCTCGCCGCCCTCGCCGTACTTGGCGCCCTTCTCGCCCTTCTCCCCGGAGTGGTGCTCGCCGTAGTGCCCTCCGCCCTCGTGGTGCTCCTCCTTCTTGCCGCCGTGGTCCTTATACGAGCCGCTGTGGCCCTCTTTGTCGTGGTGGCCCTTCTCGCCCTTCTCGTACTCGTGGTGGCCCTTGTAACCCTTATCCCCCTTGTGGCCCTCCACTTCGTGGTGTTCGGCGTTGTGCTTCTTGCCGCCGCCCTTTTCGAAGTGCTTGTCCCCGCGCCACCGCCGCCGCCGCCGCCCGTGGTGACCGTGGTGTCCGCCTCCCACCGCCAACTCGCATGGTGAAGGTGGCAAAGCCGACTTATGGTCCTTGACGTGGCGCGGCGCGGGGCACGACCGCCACGGGGGCGCTGGCCACGCGCCGTCTCGTCCTCGCGGTCGGCGGCGGCTCACGTACCGGTAGTGCACGGCGCGCGGGGGCGGGGGCCCGGCTTGGATCCTCCACCAGCCGCGGTACCGGCGCTTGTTCCGGCTCGCCGGCGCGGCCCTCGTACGCCGAGGGGGCCTACGCTGGCCAGCGCGGCGTAGCGCGCGGTCAACTTGGGCTCGGGTTCGGACGCGCGCGTAACCGCGTCTGCCTGGCCGGCCTCGCCTCCTGCCTGCGGTGCGGCCTGGGCGGTAAGGCCTGCGCTCGGCGGCGCAACGGTACGCCTGGCGATGCGCG